AGCGCGCTGTACGTGTTTTTTCTGCTGCCTTTTCCTTCAGCTTGTTTAGGCAGGCTTGCCCGCAGCCATTTTTGCATGCCCGCAGCAAATCTGCAGACCATTTGCAGCTCCGGCGCCCTTTTGCAGCCGTGCGTTGCCCTTTTCACTTGTCCGCAGCCATTTGTACACGCCCGCAGCAAATCCCAGTCCTGGGTGTGTGTGTGTGTGCCAGTCCTGGCTTCCGTCCATGGACTGGGTGTGTGTGTGTGTGTGCCAGTCCTGGGTGTGTGCGCCAGTCCTGGCTATTCTTCCAGGACTGGGTGTGTGTGTGTGTGTGTGCCAGTCCTGGCTGTTCTTCCAGGACTGGGTGTGTGTGCCAGGTGGTTCTTCCAGGACTGGGTGTGTGTGTGTGTGTGTGCCAGTCCTGGCTTCCATCCATTGGGTGTGTGTGCCAGTCAGACCATTTGCAGCTCTGGCACCCTTTTGCAGCCGTACATCGTCCTTTTTGCTTGTCCGCAGCCATTTGCGCATGCCCGCAGACCATTTGCAGCTCTGGCGCCCTTTTCATGCTCGCAGCTTTCTATTCCCTTTTCATGGTTGCGCAGCCATTTAACTCGCAGGGTTTCGACAACCATTTCTGCAGCTTAATCGCATCGATATTCCGATGTAACCCGGACAGCAGGCATGTTTAACCCGGAGCCATTTCTGTCGCAGTTTCTTGCTGCAGCCTTTGTTTAGTCTGGACCTTTGCACTGCAAATTGTTTGATTTCTTTTCTGATTGCTTGCTTGCATTTCCCTGTTGAGGAGATGCAGGACGAGAAGGGCGAGAAACCCCCTGCTCCTGCTGCTGCCAGCTGCCCTTCTGCAGAAGCACCTCAGCCCTCCCCACCTGCATCAGAGGATGGTCCGAACGAGCTGAGCATGGTGCGGTTGGCGCTGCGGCGGCAGCACCTCCAAGAAATGCACCTGAGCTGCAGTGGAACTGTATGTTGCAGTTCCCAAAAAGGCGCCCTGTTAGCCCTTGAGGTTGGCTTTGAAGAGAAAAGAGCAGGAAGAGGAGAAGCTGAAGCAGGCTGAGGCTGCTGCTGCTGCTGCAGCGCTTGAGAACCAGGGTGGAACTGGCACACCAGTTGACAGACTCTGCAGAAGCGCCATATTTGCTGGAGCAACACTTCGCAGATCGGACGCCTCGACAGAGGAAAGCTCAGCAAGGCAATGCGAGAATCTTGCATTGTCAAGACCACGAAGAAGGTGAACAAGAACGGAAAGATTACTTTCAGTGGCGACAGATTTCTGAAGCAAACCCAGCCAGTAACTTAGTGCGCTTGTTAACCTGTTGCGTATACAGTTTATGAGTATTTTCTGTCGAACTGTTGCACATCGAGCTTGCAGGTCTTACCCCATTGCATTTGGACTTCGCCTAGTGCGGTGCTTGCCCCACTTTCTTCGGTGCGTTGCCGCTCCTCCACAACCGAAGGTCGAGATGGAGGTCCCGCAGCTGTTTGCGCTGACAGATGTGGCCGACACTTGGCCCGAGGCCGGTCTGCTGGATGCCTGCATGTATTTGAGGGGGTCAAAGCACCTCCGTGTCTCGAGCCGTTGGAAAACTTGCTTTCCAACTGAAATCTGGCAGGAATCTCCGGGTTTCTAAAGGCATTGGTTTTTCGAAATTGGGCACCCGGAGAAAAGAAAGGAAAACCCGGAGGTAAGAAAAGAACACCTTCGAAAAGAAAGCTTTTATTTTATCCTGGTTTGGCCGACGCAACCCGGAGAAAATGCCGAGGCGGACTCAGGACGAGAAAAGGCGGAGATACGACGAGAAAAGGCGGAGATAGGAAGAGAATCTCGGAAGAGAAAGCCCGGAGATAGGAAATGTATTTTGAAAAGTTGTCTTTTGTGCGATGAAAGAAACATGGCGCGCCGAAAGCCATTTTGCTGCCTCAAGTTCTTTACATGGCTGGGAAGTGGCCTAGCCGAGCCTGGAGCTGTAGCGAAATTCTTCGAGGAGCAGCTCAAGTGGTCGACGGTATGGCGCTTCCTTCTGCTGACGTGGAAGCTTTGAAGCTGGGCCTTCGAACGGAAACTGCCGGCTTGGATACGCAGCAGCTCGAAGGCATGCTTGAGGCATGTGCATTTTTGCCATGGGTGTTAGCTAAAAGCCTTTCAAAATGACATATACCTTACACCCTAGACTCCTCGACCCTGAACCGTGGTTGGTTCAGGAGACCGACAAGATGATCTCAGAACACCAGATGCGCGGCGAAGTGGACAGCATTGCCCCGCCCTCAGTTTTCGCAGAGTCTGTCCAATCGTTGGGTGCAACACGGGCCGTAGAAGACTGCAGCATAAATTAAAACCCTTTGCAAACCGAGCCACATGCAGCTTGTGGCAATTGGACGCTGACAGTCTCAGCCCTGTGACCAGAACCTTGCATCTGGGGTCTTGAGGATGCACAGAAACGTTCCGAAAGAAAAAGACGGTGTGACATATAACGTACATCTACCTCCCATATATTCCTTACTTTGGCAATGGAAGGCAGGCATCAGTAACCAGACCTTCACCTGGCCAGGTTTGCTGGGCGAACAACCTTGCAAAAAGCGCCTGCGGCCGGAGCGCGCTGAAGTGATCCCTAGTGCTACGGTGCAAAGTTTGGCTCGCAGCCTCGCCCGTGGAGAAACTTGCACGCAGTGATCCAACCGCCCTGTATACTTGTCAATTTTTGTCAAAGGGCAGCAGTATTGCTTCGCACATCGCCCAAGGCACCGGCAGTGCAAGTTGCAGAGCACGCCCAAGCTATCTTAGATGATGATGCAGCCAACGGCTTTGCGCGGAAGGACCGCACCTTGCAGCGCTTGGCTCGGGCTGGAGCTGCACATTCTGCCCCTTGGTTACAAATGCGAACATGGGCGCCTGTGTGACTTAATACTTGGTTACTTGGACGGTGAATCCCAGGCGAGAGACGTCTTTGCCGCCTTGAAAGATGCTGCGTTGAAAGTGTCGATGAAAATTTCATATGTGAGCTTGGGCCAAGCCAGAGAACACCCAATGATTCCGCCAAGTGACTTCGTTTTGGCTTTGACCCAGAGGAACCGGCTGGCCTTACTCCTCCCGGACACAACTCTGGACTCCAGCGCGTGTGTTTTAGAAGAGTATTGGAGGCGCTTCAAGCTCCAATTTGGCGCTGACCATGACGTGTTCTCCCATGTCCCTCCGGAGCACCTCTCGAGCTGCGTTCCAATCAAAATCCATGGCGATGAAGGGCGGAGCCTCTTGGCAACTGCAAGTGTGATATGAACGCATGATTTCTGCGCTTGGACCTGTGTTTTGTGGCTCGATTTTGCGGAGACCAGGCAAGAAGATGCCCATCATGCTGCTGAACTTTCAGCCTATCTTGGGTGCTGGCACAAGCAAGTCAGTATTGCGGAGCAAGCGGGTGCAAGGAGAGAGCATGAAGCTCAACATGCTGGGAAACCCAGAAATGACAAGGTTCCTGTGCCTGGCTGCCCTCAAGGAGACTTATGAAGAGGATGACGCGGCCCTCCCCGATGCCATGAAAATCATTGCGGAAGACCTGCATCGGGCCCTTACACAAGGCATTGACCTACCAGGTGGCCGCAAGCTGCGCTTGGCATGCACTTCCGTCAAAGGAGACTGGCCATTTTTGATAGCTGCCGCCGATCTCAATCGTCATTTCAGGCGTGCCCCAAAAGCTGGACATACTGAGGGTGGACATGGGATTTGCCATTGGTGCCTGGCTGCGGCGGCTTCTGCACCATGGGATTCTCTGCAGCCTTTTACTGCCTTGCTCCCGGCTCCACATGGCTCACCAGAGAATCTGTACCGCCCCGACATCTGGCATAATTGGCATCTCGGCCACGGCCGGTATTTCTTGTCTTCAGCGTTCATCATAGTCCGCAGCCTTTGGAATGAAGAATCTGTGCACGATGGCTTTGCTGGCATGACGTGTTCGTGGAGAGCCTTTTGCCGCCTCAAGAAAGTCAAGCCTCCTTTGAGCAAACTGACAAAGGAGATCTGTGGCTACACAGCGTTTTTGGATTGGCCTGAGGGAGGTTGGCAGAAGGGTTCAACGACAACTTTGCTGTGCGACGCTTGTTCTTTGATCTCGTATCCATGCATGTTCTTTGTTCCGCGGTTTTGGTTGGTAAGTGCGTCCCGAGTTCAATTGCTGAGCAATTCCTTGAAAGTGCTTTGATGCAGCCTGATCGCGCGGAGCTGGTGCTGCTTGACAGGCGCCTTGCCTTGATATTGCTTGTGGCAAAAAGCATAAACTCTTGCATGCGCAAGCTGTATGGCGCTGGCGCTTGGCTCCGAGATGATGAAGCCGCTGGCATTGCTGCTGATGGGCTGTGTGCCTGCAGAGGCTACAGGGCATTGGCGACAGAATCTCTTGAACGTGGTGAGCCCCGCTTCCCTCTACATTCGAAATTCCACATGCTTGTGCACACCTTCCGTAACATGGAGCTGGATGCAAGGAAGTTGACCTGGCAGGAGTCGCCGATGTGTGACAACTGCCAGATGGATGAGGGCTTTGTGGGGCAACTTGCCCGATACAGCCGACGTGTTTCACCAAAGTCAACCATCCACAGGATGTTGGATGTATACTTGACGTCTCTATGGCGGTTGTGGCGGACTTGACCACAGTGAACCTGGTGGAAAAACATGCTGGAGGGCCAGGGTTGCCATGGGAGTGTTTCAACATCCGGTAGGGGTCA